TTCATCAGTTAAGTCCGGAGTCCTTCGCGTCCCACAACAGTTTTAAAGGAACGTTACGCTTTTCCCTCCATCTTTGAGGACGTTGGTGTCCCTCCCTTATCAATGATGCTGTGCGTCCATCCATCCGTCAGTCCGTCCGTCATAGATTTCGTATCCACTCGGCAACTCGTCACAAATTAGTTTCAGTGTTAGTGTGAGAGCGTAAATTCTGGCAGGGTCTTACTGGGCCGCTCTCAACCTTACAATCAAATTAATGGATCTTATCGAAGCATTCGTGTCCGGTGATAACACTTTATTTTGTTATCACGGAGAAAATTTATCCCCAGTTAAATATTCTAAGCTCTGTCATTGACCATCATATCTTTAACTCTATATTTTCTTCCAAACATTTTCACCGAGAAGGGTTTTAATCTAGTCAAGCTACAGGTGGAAATGGCACTGTGTGTATAATATTTACAGTTTTTTGTATCTATTTTCATTTCTTGAAGCCTCTAGGGCTCAATCTGGTTAGTGTTCATTTGGTTGATGCTCGCTCCACTATCAAGTTAAATATTTACGTCTTGGCCGAACATCTTACACAGTACTCTCACGGGCTCTCCACCCTCAGGCCGAACAACTTATTCCTTCCTGAAGGTAAGTCTGTCTCTCTGCCAGCTAAAATCGGTTATGCAATCATGGGAGACTAGGAAATCTCTTCCCAGAATGCACCCTGTACTCTGGTACACATAATATTCATGCGGCACATACACCCCGGGAGCAAACTCCAGTGTAAGATAGATGCACCGAGTTATATTAAAGTCACCGTGACCATCCGTCAGTGTAAGAGGGTTAGGTGACTCGTATACTAAATGGTTCAACCCGAGAAATGACACCACGTCTTCTGTGACGTACGAGACACAACTTCCTGTATCAACTAGGAACTTGACTTGCTTCTTGCCCAAAAAACATCGACACACTGGCGTTCCACATTTGTCTTAACTGAGATAACGCTCGTACAGGCGACTCCCTTTCGTCTTACCGATTTTCTGAGTTACGGCAAACTTTAAGGTGTTAACTGGTCTCGTCATTCTTGGTGCCATTGTTAAACCCAAAGTAGATAAACCAATATAGCCACCTAGGCATACAGTTGAAGTTGGATGGAAGTGTAGTGCAGTGCAGTAAAATATTGTCAGGTTGGAACACTGTCCACAGGCCTTTAGGAGTAGTAAACATTGTGAACACATGTATTAGGCATTGGTGTAGTGAACATATCTACCAGGAGTAGTGAACATATCTACCAGTAGTAGTGAACAGTTCTTATAGGCATTGGTGTAGTGAACATATTTACCAGGTGTAGTGAACACATCTTACAGGGATTGGTGTAGTGAACATATTTACCAGGAGTAGTGAACATATCTACCAGGAGTAGTGAACAGTTTTACCTGGAGTAGTGAACATTTCTAATAGGTAATGGTGAAGTGAACATTTCTAATAGGTAATGGTGTAGTGAACATTTTTAGTAGGAGTAATGAACATTTTTACCAGATGTAGTGAACATTTCTCATAGGTAATGGTGAAGTGAACTTTTCTAATAGGTAATGGTGTAGTGAACATTTTTACCAGGAGTAGTGAACATATCTACCAGGAGTAGTGAACATTTTTACCAGATGTAGTGAACATTTCTAATAGGTAATGGTGAAGTGAACATTTCTAATAGGTAATGGTGTAGTGAACATTTTTACCAGGAGTAGTGAACATATCTACCTGGAGTAGTGAACATTTTTACCAGATGTAGTGAACATTTCTAATAGACATTGGTGAAGTGAACATTTTTACTTGGCGTATTAAACATTTTTACCAGGTGTAGTGAACATTTTTACTAGGTGTATTGAACATTTTTAGCAGGTGTAGTGAACATTTTTACTAGGTGTATTGAACATTTTTAGCAGGTGTAGTGAACATTTTTACTAGGTGTATTGAACATTTTTAGCAGGTGTAGTGAACATTTTTCTAGGTGTGGTGAACATTATGTCAAGCTCAACTTTTCTATTTAAAAACATGAAAAAGATTGTTACTGGGTGATGAACAAGTTCCTGTGTACCTTCAGTCATAAAGAATGTAATTTGTTCCTTGTTATGCACCGTGTTCTGTTTAAGGTAAATACTGGAAATGTTTACGGTAAATGATAGAGGTGGAGGCTTCCCAAACACGTTCAGAGTATCATGATGTGTTGTAGTGATGATGGATGGTGTTGTATGTAGTGATGATGAATGATGTTATATGTAGTGATGATGGATGGTGTTATATGTAGTGATGATGGATTAATTGTTATATATAGTGATGATGGGTTGGTGTTATAGCAATGATGATGGATGGTGTTATATCTTAGTGATGATGGATGATGTTATATGTTGTGATGATGGATGGTGTTATATCTTGATGATGATGGGTGGTGTTATATGTAATGATGATGGATGCTGTTATATGAAGTGATGATGGATGATGTTATGTAGTGATGATTGGTGGTGTTATATGTAGTGATGATGGGTGGTGTTATATGTAGTGATGATGGGTGGTGTTATATGTAGTGATGATGGATGATGTTATATGTAGTGATGATGGATGATGTTATATGTAGTATTGATGGATGGTGTTATATGTAATGATGATGGATGCTGTTATATGTAGTATTGATGGATGGTGTAATATGTAATGATGATGGATGGTGTTTTATGTAGTGATGATGGATGATGTTACATGTAGTGATGATGGATGGTGTTATATGTAATGATGGTGGATGGTGTTATATGAAGTGATGATGGATGATGTTATGTAGTGACGATGGGTGGTGTTATATGTAGTGATGATGGTGGATGGTGTTATTTGTAGTGATGATGGATGATGTTATGTCGTGATGATGGATGTTGTTATATGTAGTGATGATGGATGGTGTTATATGTAGTGACGATGGGTAGTGTTATATGTAGTGATGATGGGTGGTGTTATATGTGGTGATGATGGATGGTGTTATATGTAGTGATGATGGATGGTGTTATATGTGGTGATGATGGATGGTGTTATATGTAGTGATGATGGATGATGTTATATGTAGTGATGATGGATGGTGTTATATGTAGTGATGATGGATGGTGTTATATGTGGTGATGATGGATGGTGTTATGTGTAGTGATGATGGATGGTGTTATATGTAGTGATGATGGATGGTGTTATATGTAGTGATGATGGATGGTGTTATATGTAGTGATGATGGATGGTGTTATATGTAGTGATGATGGATGTTGTTATATGTAGTGATGATGGATGGTGTTATATGTAGTGATGATGGATGGTGATGTTGGGTGGTGTTATATGTAATGATGATGGATGGTGTTATACGTAGTGATGATGGACGATGTTATATGTAGTGATGATGGATGTTGTTATATGTAGTGATGATGGGTGGTGTTATATGTAGTGATGATGGATGGTGTTATATGTAGTGATGATGGATGGATGGTGTTATATGTAGTGATGATGGATGGATGGTGTTATATGTAATGATGATGGATATTGTTATATGTAGTGATGGTGGATGGATGTGTTATATGTAGTATATATGATGATGATGGATGATATGTGATGGGTGGTGTTATATGTACTATGATGATGGTGTTATATGTAGTGATGATGGATGGTGTTATGTGTAGTGATGATGGATGGTGTTATATGTAGTGATGATGGATGTTGTTATATGTAGTGATGATGGATGGTGCTATGTGTAGTGATGATGGATGGTGTTATATGTAGTGATGATGGATGTTGTTATATGTAGTGATGATGGATGGTGTTATGTGTAGTGATGATGGATGGTGTTATATGTAGTGATGATGGATGGTGTTATATGTAGTGATGATGGATGGTGCTATGTGTAGTGATGATGGATGGTGCTATGTGTAGTGATGATGGATGGTGTTATATGTAGTGATGATGGATGGTGTTATATGTAGTGATGATGGATGGTGTTATATGTAGTGATGATGGATGGTGTTATGTGTAGTGATGATGGATGGTGTTATATGGTGATGATGGATGGTGTTATATGTAGTGATATGTAGTGATGATGGATGATGTTATATGTAGTGATGATGATGGTGTTATATGTAGTGATGATGGATGGTGTTATATGTAGTGATGATGGATGATGTTATATGTAGTGATGATTGATGTTGTTATATGTAGTGATGATGGATGGTGTTATATGTAGTGATGATGGATGGTGTTATATGTAGTGATGATGGGTGGTGTTATATGTAGTGATGATGGATGGTGTTATATGTAGTGATGATGGATGGTGTTATATGTAGTGATGATTGATGTTGTTATATGTAGTGATGATGGATGGTGTTATATGTAGTGATGATGGATGGTGTTATATGTAGTGATGATGGATGATGTTATATATAGTGATGATTGATGTTATATGTAGTGATGATTAGACAATCTATCTATATAAAGCAAAGAAGTCTTCTCAGTTTGTGTGTGTGTGTCCCCCAGAGAATCTCGGAAACTACTTTACCAATCTGTGGTGATGACGGATGGTGTTATATGTAGTGATGATGGATATTGTTATATGTAGTGATGATGGGATGGTGTTATATGTAGTGGTGATGGATGGTGTTATATGTAGTGATGATGGATGGTGTTATATGTAGTGATGAAGGATGATGCTATAGTGATGATGGGTGGTGTTATATGTGGTGATGATTAGACAATAAAATAATTACAGTTTATTGCTAAAAAAAATATACTTTGCTGTACCTTTGTAGTGAAAAACATGGTGGAACTTACATACACCGTTAATGAACTATTGGTGGAAGAAGAAGTTTTGGGGATTGAACAGTGAGACAATGTGGAGCCTCCCGGAGGGTGGCGTTCTACCGTTGCCTAGCGGATGAGCCGCCGTGGACGGCGATTCTGTTAGTATTTAAATATTTACAAGTGGAACATAAAAACAAAAGATATACAATCAGGTGCGTTTATTAATCCTATGGTTAAAACAAGCAACCAGCACTGTACACAGTCCAATAAGAAAGACATAAAGGTATAACTAGAAGTGATCTGTCGTTTAGAATCGATGGTTTAGTGAGAATGATGGTCATTTGTTTCCTGTACACTCTTATAAGATAGAGTTTAGGGGTAACGTTAAGCCTGGGTAGTTTATATCATGAGGATAGTTTGTATTCACCATTTTATGTGTTTTATATCTCGTAATGTATAAAGTTGTGTTTGTCGTTATGGGAAGAAGTTTCATGTTTTCCTGCTGCCACAAGTTTATAGCGGGGCGGGAGTCAGAGAACCGTCTACGGGATCAGGAGGCCCTCCTCAGTGAACCTGTGAAGACGTTGAAGGAGGGGCGTTGTCGAGAGTGGATTGGCTAAGGCTTAACCTGGTATATGCTATCAGGGGGGACGACGCCGATATTTTTGTTCAACTCATAGAAGGATTCGGTTAGGCTACAGTCGACGGCGTTCCACCAGATGCAGTTGAATTTCTCCTGGTCGAAGAGAGTGCCGTTGGGACAAAGGACTTTGGTATCCCTCTCGAACTGACAGATGTGGAAGACTTGGCACCTTGTCTCGGGGTCAGCGTAGTAGCCTGTGGTGGAGACACAAGTGGTGAGGCTAGACATTACAGATACACAGAACTTTCCATTAGTAACTAATTGGTAAAGAAGGTGAGTTTTAATTGTTATCTATAGAAAGGAAAGGAAATTGCTAATTGCTGGTCATCCCCCTTCACTTAGCAGACATAAGTTGAATGTCTGCATCATACAGTTAAGCCGCAGTCTGCTTCACCCACTCCGTCTACCTTCCACTACACTCACTCAGAAACAGAAGTACTTGGATGTCACTCGCTGTTGAGATAGGTCGTCGAGGTAAAGTAATTGTCGAAAGATTAGCGGAGACCTCTTGACCCCCAGGGACGTGTTGGGTCACTAGGAGTCACCGTGAAGGTCGACTCAAGTGATCTGTGTCATTACGTCTCTGTAAAGGAGCTCATTGAGCGCCTATAGCCTAGGCAGAATGGATTTAACCCCTGTAACCTTAACCTGACGTACCGTAACGTAACATAACGTAACCTAATGTAACCTAACCTAATCTAGCGTATAGCTTAGAGCCTTACACGACTAAACATTGGGATTAACTAAAAGAAAAAAATGTTAGTTTGACTTGCCTATATTTAAGACAGTGGATGTGCTGTAACGGCTAAAGAAGCCAATGATTGTTGCAGTATTTTAAAACCTTTATTATGGTGAAGTTTAAATTCCACATCGGTAATTAGGCAGGTGAGCAGATGTGTGTGTGTGTGTGTGTGTGTGTGTGTGTGTGTGTGTGTGTGTGTGTGTGTGTGTGTGTTTGTGTATATTTACCCGAGTTGTGTGTACAGTGACATAGAGATGGAAGCAGTACATGACGCTTAATCGAAGAGTAAAACAAACGAGTTGTAGATCCAACCTGCCTGACCACTTTCGCTTATCCTTGAGGAAGTAAGTCCCTGAAGTGCACTGGGTTCTTACCAACTTGTTTGTGTGTGTGTGGGGTGGAGGGGAAGGGGGGTGGAGGTGGGTGTGCGTGGGTGGGTGGATGGGTGGGTTGGTGTGTTTGCCCGCCCTCGCGCTAAAATAATTATTATCATTATCATCATCATCACAGGTGTTGGACAGGTGAGAGATAATCATCATCATCGTCATAGGTGTTGGGGCAGGTGAGGCAGGGCGGTAAGGTAATCTTCTAACAGCTTCTCTCTTCCTCTGAGACAACAGCGTGAACTCCTAACTTGACTTTTTGGTCATCCTTTAATGTTCGTCCCAACAAGACACTTTTTAAGGGGCCTGAGTCTTGGTCCCAATGGACAGTCATCCCAATGCCCTAAGTTAGATAACTTTAAATTAGCTTGGGACCTGTCAGAAATGGGGCCATTTAGGGCTGAGGCCCACTATAGACCTACAACCCTGGCCTGCTCGATCATATTATTGTAAACAGACGAAGCTGCCCTCAGGGAAGACCAAAAATCACCAGGTCACACAAGGACGTGACCTGATGATCTACTGATGTGACTCTTAGTCTAGTCGACCCTCACCCGCTAGACCACACAGCAACAAAATACACGATTATTATCTAAAAAGTATCGTGATTGCAAGATTGAGGTAATTTCTGCAACTTGCGTCCCGCCTCTTCCTGTGGACTTGACCTGCTCGCGCTGTTTAAAGATCCACCACAACACACACACAGTCATCAAGGATACATTATTTTTAAGATGTTTAATCCTGTGTACATCTTCAGGTGGAAACGAAGGTTCAGTGAGTGTTTATCCTGCTGTGTGTGTGTGTGTGTGTGTGTGTGTGTGTGTGTGTGTGTGCTCGTACCCGTGACAAATGATCGTA